TTTAAAAAGAGTCGAAAAAATTCACTAGGGGTGTGTATTCGCACTTTGGGCAGCACTATAGGGGGTCTGTTTGCAACAAGTAGAACTATAGGAAGCCTATTAATAACAAATAAAACCACATGGGGTCTCTTTGCAATTAAACCTTTGATTAAGTTAAAGCACCAATACTAGCTGGTACCAGTCAGATATCAACAAATCAAACAACGACACAGAAATAAAAAGGCTAAATTGCATTAAAATACCTTATGATTCACTCATTTAGCACTTATGTACTTTTTCAGAGCATTTATATACTGTAAGTTATTTAAAATTAGCACTTTAGTACCATTTGTTATGCAAAGGTAAAAATTTTCATGAAAATTTTCGCACACGAAAGTTCTCATCTAACGTTCACATATTAATTTTAAAGCTTTTTAGTCATTAAATATTTGTTAAATTTACTGTTAATCCTACCCAAATTCTATTTTAAATATTTTCTGATTACATTTGAAAAGTAAATTTTAGACAGATTTAACAGTAAGTTCAGCAAATTTAATATTTAGAAAGTTATATTAGCATATATGAATGTTATAGGAGAACTTTCAGATGAAAATTTCACGTTCGCATAAAGAGGGTACTAAAGTGCTAATATGAAACAACTCAGAGTATATATATGCTCCAAAAACATAAGCTTTTAGTGCAATTTTGCCAAATAAAAATGGGTTAGATCCTTAAATTTAATCTTTCCTTACATAAAAATGTAAAACATAGAAGACCAGACCAGGTCAACTTTTTTAGTCAAGATATAACATCATGTTTACGAGATATAAATCTTCTAGACGCAGATCTATCTTTTGGTGAAGCACCAATATTACCAGTCAGATATCAGCAAATCAGACAAAAACAGGGAAATAAAATCGGGTTGGATCCTTAAATTACACATAAAAATATAAAACATATAAGACCACACTAGCCTAACTATTTCTGTCAAGGTATAACATCATGTACTATTCTCCCAAGTGCTAATTGGATTACCTGCTATTAAAGTTGTGATGCTTCTTATCCATTCCATATGCTTTAGACAACAATGGCAACAACAAAAATTTTATCCCAAATTTTTAGGGTCAGCTACATGGATGTCATTCTTCCATGTGTTTAGGGCTATCTCCTCCGTTAACTATTATCAGATCAATGTGAATGTTTGAGACTCTAGATCTAAATCCTAAATAAAAATATGTACATACCTTGTGGTGTATACCAATGCTTGGTGCCTTACTGAGAACCTCTATATGCATTTTTTCATTAACGGGAGGTTCCTCACACACAAATTGAAACTCATCTTCCCATCGTGGATCCCTATTTTTCTTTATGTGCTGCATCCACAAAATGTCATGGTAAGTAACAAGCACAAAGCACATAAAAGATCATCTCGTATTACCTTAGTTTTCTTGTGCTCTCCCCTGAAAAGTATTTTTACATATGGATTAGTGTGATGTTTTCCCTCCAAATCTTGAGCTTCGTGAACAATGACAACAAGCAAACCACCACCTGAGGGTGTACCCTCTGGAGCCTTTTCTAGTATATCGTCTTTTGTATCCTCACTGATGCCTGCTGCAATTTCTTCTTCCTTAAAGGGTTTATATGTCAATTCCATGACAACTTGTCCACGTGATTTTTCATTCTGAGTGTCATTAGGATCCATATTCTTAAGCAAGTTAAGTGTCATCGTCCTTGGTTCATCTGGAGTAAGATCTCTGAGTGGAACAACATTCATGCCCATTTTATCATGTTTCCCAACCTGAGAAAAATATATAGATGATACATGACAGAACTTTCTAAGCAACATTAAAAAGATGGGAATTGCAGATAGACCCCCTTTACTGTTGCCCGATTGCTGAAAGACAACATGTACCATAGCTCAATTGCGGAGAAAACCCCTAAGTGAAAGTTTTTTTTAAGTCTTTTAACCTTTTTTTTTAAGTCTTTTACCCTCAAGAGGTCTATTCGTCAAAAAACAATTTTCTCCCTCTGACAGTAAAATAGACAAAAAAAATTCACTCAGGACTCAGGAGGTCTATCTGCAACAATAGAACTGCAAGAAGTCTATCTGCAATAAAACATAAAAAGAATCATGAGCAAGGAACAAGGGCGAAAGAATGCATGCCTGTTCCCAGTCGAAAACATTGACTTCCAGAGCTTGAGATTCTGGATCCTTGACAACAAACTTGAATTCCTCATTCCATTCAGGACTAAGGTTACCCTTCTTCACCGTAGTTTTCTTTGAGGGAAGCTTGTCTTCAGTGAGTTTAAGTTTGACATAAGGGTCAGATTTACCCATAAGATCTTTCTTTTTCAGTTTATGAGCGTTTATAACCTTCACTAGTAGAATTCCGACAGGCTTTTGTAGGGCCCTGAAAGATGCACAAAGAGAGGCAAATAAATAAATAAATAAATAAATGGAATTGATATACAAAAATTAATATTATTCAGCAATGAAAAAAAGTTCCTATAAAGTTACTTTGATGGATCCATGATTGGGACTTCGAGTGTTTTAGGCCAAAGGTACATGTTCGCAACCTGAGTCTTGATGGTCTCCTGCAGAAGGAACCTTATGAAAGGGCAATTTAAATGAAGATAGAAAAAGGACTATGAAATCAACTAGTCCACACAGTTTAGCATCACAGTAAGCTATTCTGCATATTTACAATATGGAGCCCCAAAAATATAATATTAAAGGAAATACATTTGGTTATATATATATACATATATATATATATATATATATATATATATATATATATATATATATATTATATATATATATATATATACATTTGGTTATATATATATATATGTATATATATATGTATACATTTGGTTATATATATATATATGGAGTCCCAAAAATATAATATTAAAGAAAATACATTTGGTTACAATATGAAGTAGGTGAATAGTGATTGAGGCTCTATCTTCGAGGCGTGATGTAGGGGTCAGATCTGACCACGTCACTACCAAGTTCAATGAAGAACTTGGTACCAAGGTTCTTCATATTTCTCATATATATATATATTAATATATATATATATATATATATGCACGTGTGTGTGTGTGTATATATATATGTACATATATACATATATATGTGTGTATATACACACATATATATGTATATATGTTCTGAATTATATAGAAACTTTCATGCCATGAAATGAAGTAGATTAGATGAAACCAAAACAATACTCTCATGACTATTAATCAAAACTGGTTAATATGCTAATGTAAGTAATAGTGCAACCACACAAGAGGTAATTGTTAAACTAACATGTGATCCAAATAGAGTTTCATATACAACTAAACCTTGGATCAGAAATATAGACAAGCAACTTTTAGAGAGATCCCACAATGCCACAAATAATAATCTATGCATCAGTATGTTAGGATGTAAACTAAACCAGAAAATACCTGCACAAATCTGTACAAGCCAGGAATAGACATGAGATCTGCGCCAAGAAGTTTTAGTCCAAAGTCGACATGTGGCTGTAGAGGATAACTTAAGAGTTAAACATAACACAAACAAAGCCAGAATCTTCTGAGATAGAAAAGTAAGTCTATGCACCTTTTCCATGAGAGAGACAAGAATATTTGCAAAACAAGGAAAGCTAGGAACCAGAGGCTTTAAAGTAATGCGAGGTGCAGCAAAGATTTGCAAATCTACCAACTGAAAATGCAGATCAGAACATAAACATAAAAAATTGGAAATAATAAGTAAATAATCTTATATCATGAAACATGAATCTGGTTTATAACCTGTGCAGTGGCTTTTAATCCAAATGCTTTAACCACGACGGTGACATTTGGATTACCAGCCCATTTAAGAGATGGTTCCATAATCAACTCCTTCTCCTCTGTCATGTAAACTTTCATTCCTGGAATGATAATAAATATTATAGATGGTATAAAATTTCAAGAGCTTATATAAACTAATCAATAAAGTAAATGACGAGTTAGAGATAGGAGACACTGAGTACAAAGTAAAAGAGCAACGGGGAATGGAAACATAATAAGAAATTGTCATCCTGTAATAAGCTTATAAAAGGGAAAGCTTGACACAGAAAATTAATCACTCTCTCTGAATTAAATGAGTGAAAAATCAATGAATTCTATTTTAAGAGTATGAACCTGTGTCTAACAAATGCAAACTAAAACTTTATACTTGGTCATCTGAACTGAAATAACAGCACTAAATCCAGATAACAAATTTTAGATGAGTACAAGGATAAGTTCCTTTTGGCTCCAGTTCAAACTGAATTTACACCAGTATTCGTGTTGAAGTAAAATCTGAAATCCTACAAGTAAAGAACCAATTCTTTTGAGGCTCTGACATATAAGTCTTGGAGCTGAAAGATAATATTCGTACGTGAATATAGATCTAAACAAAAAAAAACAAAAGAGAATGGATTATTACTCTTGGATATGAAATAGAAAGTGAACTAGAAATTTTGAGCAATTAGAACTGGCTTAAATAACAAGCAAGAGAAAGACCGAGGACAACCTTTCTTAGAGTTCTTTTCTTGATTATCTCTTTTTTTTCATTTTCGTAGTTGTTTATCTTTTTTTTCTAGCAATAAGACGTCTGGAAATTTAAAAAAAAAAACTATGACGACATTTGTTAGGTCAAGTTGCCAAATATGAAAAGGATTTCTGTTAAATATAATTTGTTGCCATATATAGAAAGAATTAGTTAGAGGTCTCCTAGGTCACATATGAGGAAAACGAAATAATAGGCTGCAGGTAAGGGCCTATTTGTTTGCATGGAAGTAGCTATGAAGTAGGTGAAGTAAAAGAAGTAAGGACTATTTTTGCTACTTCCGTGAGGAAAAGTATGTTTATTTTTCTAGAAAAACTACTTCCGGTACTTTCTTAAAAGCTAACGCGGCGCCTACGTGTCATTACTACTTCTTGAATCTTTTCCCTCCCTCAAGGCTCGGAAATACCTCGGAAGTAGCTGAAATTGAGTCAATTTAGGAATAAAATTATTTTTATTATTGCATGGATATTCTTTATTTCTAAATAAAATCCTGAAAGATCCTCTTGTTCTCTTCCTAACAATATTTATAATATTTATAATTGCTACCAAACAAAAAAAAAGTGAATGAAATGGAAGAAACACTATTTCCTCTACTTCTAAAAATTAATGAAATAAACAAAAAGTAGTACTTCCGTTACTTCTTAGAAGTAATAATTTTGCTTTACTTCTTACTTCTAACTTCTTCCTATCAACCAAACCGGCCCTAATATAGAGGGAAAAGGAAGGCTCCAAGTTATGACGTATGCATCTTTATCATTTTACAAAAATGCGACTGATTGAATTCGTTAGCCCTTATGCTTCTTATTTTTAACTGGTATGCACAGCCGGCAGACCATTGAGTTAAGTACTAAGTCGTAGTACGCTTTGGTTCATCATACAAATATAGGACCATTAGATCAGTACTTATAGCAGTGGTACATTTGAAAGCTATACTCAGGTCATTTGACAATTATGCAAGCAACATCTGTGTGTATGTGTATAGACATGAGATATATTTTATATACATAACAAATGTAAAATTACACATTATGATTAGTTACTTTCATTTTTACGATCTGCAAAGCAAACCAAATCCAATACTAATTACCTAATTAAATATCTTGATCACAATTTTACTTACATCAATAATCAAACATCAAACATCTCAATAGCTTGGAGTTATACTTTAGGTTGCCTAAAGGACAAAAGGATCAAATCCCCTTTAAAGGATTCGTGATCTCCAAGATCCAACCCCCCCCCCCCCCCCCCCCCCCCCTCCCCCCCCCCCCCCCCCCCCCCCCCCCCCCCCCCCCCCCCCCAAAAAAAAATAAAAAAAAAAAAAACTCACTTTGCCTATTTTCGCCCTTAAACTGTATATATTCCCGATGTGATCATTTTGTGAGCTTACAGTCAAATATTTCACATATTAATGATGTGATTTTTTTGCATTTATTGTATTTTCTGCTACTTAGAAAATGATTTTTCAATTCATAAAAGGGTTAAATGGTAAAAGTTTTGAGGAAAAGTAGTTAAGAGTTTTTATTTATTTATTTATTTATTTCGTGGAAAAAGGAGACAGACTAATAAAAACCCATGAACAAATGGCAAAAGACTATGTCACGTTGCTTATTTGTTAATATTGTAGGCTCACAAAACGTCCACATTGAAACCGCAAACGTAATTTGAAGGGCAAAATAAGTAAATTGATACCTTAAGGGGGAACTTGAGAGTTTACCAATACTTTTAAGGATGAGCTAGTTATTTGGTTCTTCCATAAAACATAAATATATTTATTAAAGAAAAGCTAAACACTAGAGGAGAATACTTCTAAAAAGCCCACTGAATTAATAAAGCCTTGCTGCTCATCTTTTATTCAAATGGGTTCTTGTTTATGGTCATCACTTCACGAAACACTGTGACTCTGAACGCAAAACCAAATGGGATAGTCATTCATTGAATAGCATGAACTAGGTAACACTAATTCATATAAATATAGACTTGTAATTGACAGCTGAAGCGGAGGCCTTTGTTTGCAATTCAGGCCATTGTTTATAATGTTTAGATAGCATAAGGCTTACATGTTTTTTTTTCAGAAAATAAGAAAATAAAATGATGAACTGTATCCACATATTTAGCGTACCATGGACTCCCTATCAAAATGAATTCTTTGAGATAACAAATTTCAGTAATTGCATTCCTTGATTTCTAAAAAGAAATTTATCTGAACCTTAAAATATTTTCAACTATCAGTTGTGAAAACTGAAAAGGAACAAACTAGCTTCTCTGTAATTGAAAATGATGGCAGTCCAGACTTTGTTAGACTGGCTACTTATTGGTAGACAGGTCCATTTCATTTTCTCCTTGTAGCAGGTAAGCTAAGTACTTCAAGCCTATGAATAAAATGAAATTAAAAAAAAAATAGGAAGGCAGTTTAATGGTTTGTAACCTGAAGCTAACCTTAATTCTATCAATTATAGCTTTTGTATTTGCAATTACCGTTCCCTATGCCTTGAAGACATATAAAATACTTCATACATTAAAGTTAGGTATGCCTACTCTTGCAGTGTATGCCAGTTAGCATGATCTTCCCTTTGTTTCCCTTTCAAGGAGAGAGATCCGTGCAGAACATTATAGGTTTCCAGTTAAGAATGCATTACCATCAACAAAGAATCTTTGCATCTAAATAATCACAAAAAGATGGTAGACAAGTTATAGAAATCAAACCTTGAAAAGTTGGAGGTAGTGAGCCTAAGGTAAATGTTTCAAATTCAACAGATTCGATTTTAAACTTCTCAGTATTCTCAGCAATAATTGGCTTTGCAATTTCCTTTACTGTTTTGCAGATTGCCTAGGAGAAAAAAGGAAATATAATCAAACTAATCAAAAGAAAAAGAACTGTAGATGTCTCAAATACAAGTATAGTACATGAAACATGAAATTATGTACAAACCTTATCCAAATAAGGCCACATGCTTTCCAAAAACCTGTTTAGCCAATCCATCTAAAAGGAAATGTGAGAAAGAAAAAGAATAAGCAAATTATTGATGCACAATCCTTGATGGGAGAAAGTCCCATTGGAAAATTAAATAACAAGTTTTTTTTAATTGAGATAGTATTCCTATCTGAGGCATCAGATATAAGCCAAGAACAAGAATGCAAATTCAAGTAAATAGTGAATTCACAACGTACACGATCAAAGTCTGGATTTTTCACCCATAAAGGAATTTCAGGAAGCATGTTCTCCAGAGAGTTAGAATCATGTTCGACAAGTGGCCGTATTGTAGGATCCTGCTCAAAAAGGAAAGAGTATAAGAAATGCTCTTGATTTATGACGATAGATCAGAAGGAAAATTTTCCAACTCATTCTTTCAAAGGAAAAGTACATAGCTAATGTTTACAATCTGAGACAATATGTATAAGACGATTGAACATATAAATGACTTGCAAGAAACAAATTAGTAGAAAGAGGTAGAAAATTAACAAATTAGTAGAAAGAGGTAAAAAATTGCTATCTGTGTCATACTTGGTAAAGCAATTAATAACCCTAAATGTTAGAAAACAGCACTTCTCATTTCTTGCATATTTGGTGTGTGTTTGGCATTGCTTTTGCTTCCTTAAAGCATTCCCAAGAAGCACTTACTTGAAAGCAATGCCCTTAAAAGGCTAACAAGCATTACAGTTTGATTTTTAAAATGTAAAGGTTCTTACTGAAGCAAATGAATTAGATTTTATTTCCAGAGAGAAGTGTAAAAAAAATGACAGAAGGAAAGCTTGGATAAGGAGGAATACAAAAAACAGGTTTTCTTTGTGCTTGTTAAAGTATAAAGAAAGAGAATTTTTTGGACAAGGAAAGATTGGATAAAACAGCTGTACTTAAAAAAGCATATGAAAAAAAATTCTTTCATGAGAGGGAGTTTCAAACAGAATAAATGTCAGGAGGAAAGCAAGCAAAACATGCACGCATGAGAAAGGAAAGGAAAGAGGAAGGTAGAGAGCGGGAGGGGGTGAGGGATGGAGGTAGGGAGCTTCTGGACAAACTGTCAAGTGCTTACAATCTCAAAAGCTGAAGGCAGAACATAGTCTAGCAAGTATGGTTATAGCAAAAGCGAAAAAGGTAAAATTTAAAGTAATGCTGGTGTTCATGTTTTGATGTGGATCTCTTCGGATCTAATACTAATCAATTAGAAATGGGTACCAACAGGCAAGAGGAAGAAGATAAGGAATATGGCTTCACATCATCAACCACTTCCCATGCAAAATAATGATTTTTGTATTGATTTCATACAAAGGAAGAAATTCACAAGAAATCCATCTTCATAGAATTATCCACTCCAACCAATAAATACAAAATCCAAAAGGACCCAGTCTGATCTTAACTAAACTAAAATTTCAAAACAAACTTAAAAATCTCCCAGCAAATCGTCCTCATTAAAGTGGAATGTCCCTAATAACTAAAATTTATGTATATCTAATTCAACCAAAAAAGATCCTTCAATATTAATCGCACTAGGATTTCTCGAATCCTAAGTAAACTAGGAATAGCTCCAATCTTAACAGATTTCTTCCAACAAGATGAATTGGTTGGCAATCTCCAACTCTTCCAAGTTCCAACACTTGAATATTGAGCAAAATAAGTTGTTTTGTATCATAGATGCACCTCCTATTCGCAGAGAAACATGCCTACAAGTTCACAAGCTTCATCATAAATTTAGGCTTCAGATGGCAAACTAAAATCCATCTAAGCATTAATTTGCATGTTCTGCCAGTGGTTGCAACAAAACCCAAGTCCATCTGATTCTTGCAGGCTATGCATGTCAAATTGAATATCATGGTAAGTGCTACTTGAAACTACAAGTGTATAAGCTAGGGAGTAGAGAGAATGTTGTAGCGATATGTAGTAGCACAATCATAATTGCATTGGCTATTTCTCATAATGAGAAAATGGATAGAGAAATTTGAAATGGTTACATACTCAGTAGCATTGACAAACATTCTTGCTTTTTCAACTTTGGCCCAGTTGCAATCTAGAATTACTGATAAAAATTATTTTCACTTAATTATCACATAGAGAGATTTGATCAGGCATTTATGCCATATATAAATATGATGCCCAGATAGAATGTCAACTCACAGATATTGCTTACTATTAGAAATGTATCCCTTTCTTGAGTAACAGGAGCAAGATTCCCGTGGAATTTATTAGCTAGTATTTTTTTAAATTAACAATATAAAAATATCTATAATAAATCCCATAAGTGAGGCAACCATGCCAAGATTGACGACGACAATCATTCAAGAATTACTGGTGGCTCACCATCATTCTCCTACCCATTGTTAATTTCTCCACAATCATTCTCTTTATTTCTGTCTGCTTTTGCAAAGCTACAAATATAGTGCACAATATAACGAACATGCTGCATGCACGATGCGAAACCACCAAAGTATCTTATACTACACTTGACCATAATACTTGCCTAACCCTATTAAGTTAAAAGCATAGAACTCAACAAGGGACATGGAGAATTTGTAAAAAGTACAGCACAGAGATGTGAATGTGGACATGTGTGTGCATGCGCATATGTGCGTGCATGTGTACAGAGATCTTCAGCTAAGAACTAGATCTCAAAATAAAAGTTATGAGGAAAAAAAACACAATGATAAGTCATTATTTAGACAATGTTAACACTTTATTGATCTCTATACGCAAAAGAATTTATAAATGAAAGATCAAAAAGCTTGAATACTTTCTGCCCATACATCAGAAGGTACCTTTTTTGGGTTGAGATAACATGTTTTTAGCTAACTTTGAAAATGAAGGAAATTTTGAAGCCACCTTATTTCTCGTTCATAGACTAATTTAAATGTGTTGAACAAGAAGAACTGTGTCATTCATAAGATGAATCTATTATAGGGTTCTCACAACCATGGAGTGCTTCGAAACCAATTTTAATACTGTAGCAATGCAGATATATTGAATCCTCCTGATCTCCACTACACATTCCTTAGGTATTCAAAGATACAAACACGTGCGCGCGCATTATACACATATTACATACACACACTGTGTGTGTGACTGCGTGTACACACACGCATTTATACATATGCATCTATATAAAATAACAAGTGATATCTAACTTTATAACTTTGACTAGAGATTTCTTAAGACAAATTAATTACAGAAATTCATGAAAAGTATTATGATTTATAAAATCTTTTAAAACTAGACCACTAATTGATTGACTAGAATAAAATAATAATATTGGTTTTTGCACATGACAACAAGTAATAAAATTGTTTGATATATAGCAAGAAGAAGAATCCATGGGAAAAAAAGAACATCTAATATATGATAGTAACAATAAACTAGTTCCGTTATCATAAAACTCAAAAGTGTTTGAATGAAAATCACACCTTCATACTATCTGGCACATTATATATATATATATATAGAAGGAAATAAATAGACAATCTAAACATATTCCGTATACAAAAAAAATACAACTTGAAGCTAGTCACTCAAACTACATATCAAATAATAAGGCCTCTAAAGACCCAATTTACATAAAACAGGCCCAACCTAACCTAAGAAAACTTGTGTTTTCCTCCTATATCCAAAATGTTTACCCTTTCAACCCGCAGAAAGCTAGGCATGTCAGACCTGCTCACATTGTGTTCATGGAGCATCAATGTCGGTTGATGTTTTGACATGTTTCCAACATGCATATATGAGCTTTTAAGAAGTGCCCATGCTACATAGCCTACTTTGCTTGACCTTTTTATATGAACACTACTCCTATTTTCAATATTGAGGACTCATTTTTGTGAAGTAGCGATCTTAGAACTTTGCACTCTGGCCACAGGCATTTAGTGGTGTTCATAATTACCTTTGCTTCAATGGAAGATGCCTGATAAGATTGATCGTTATCTTCAACAATAAGTATGTAGTAGATAGCAATAACAAGGCCTCCAAATGACACATGGACGAGGAGGAGGATCTCACGGTCTGCCCCTGTTTCTTAGATTCAATGCATTGCCTATTGATTGAGGTTATATAGAGTACTCCTTTTTTTACAGCTATTTGAGATGAGATATTAAGTTTAATCTTTTTATTCATTCTTGTTTATAATAAATTGACCATAAATTGAGTTTTGCATTGCAACAAAACATAACTGCTTGACAAATGGAATTTCTCCCTTGTGCTCCTGTGATCATATATTCCTTTCCTCTCATATAATTGCCCCCTCTACCCGATAAGACATTTGTCTAGTTCCTCCTTGTGCTCATCTTCTTCTACTGTGTATTTGAAATTCTCTACTCTTCTTCTCTACTATCATCCTTTCTACCCGTCCCTATATTCTCTTCATTCTCTTCCATCCTGCACTGCTATTATAATCTGTATACTTGGCGTCCAATGGGCAACATGAATATCATAGATAATCTCCCTTCCACCTAATAATGGAAATATCACACCGAAATCAATAAAATGAGATGAAAATTATAAGGGCATTTTGTCACCAATAAAACCCAGTTCAAGGCTGTCGATCACTATATTTATAAAATACGAAAACACAATCTTACATACTCTAAAGAAATCAGGTAACTCATTGTGCTATCCCTCAGTGTCTGAGAGAATTCACTACAGTTAGCAATCTTCATCCATAAAACTACTTATAATTCAGTAAATTACTGCACTGCATACTTCTACAAGCCTCAAACAAATAGACTTACAGGACCATCTAATCAAACCCATCATTTTAATTCCAAGCTTACACCATTTTTAACACAATCAAACATATATTGCAAACAAAGCACAGATCCAAAGTGGATTCAACTGAATACCCAAATGAAATGCAACATGTCAGAGCAATACCATATACTCAAATCAATAATAATAATTTAAAAAACATACCTCAACAACAGAGGATTGGAAGTAGATGAAGAGATAATAGCCGATAACGAGGCCAGCAGTGAGGCCAAATCCAAATCCAAAGAAACCCAATACAGAACTCACGAAACCCATCTCTAATTTTGTCAATCTCAAAATCCCCTCAGCAAAATCTTATTCAAATTGCTTTCATGCATTGGACAGCAGATCCCCTGTCCCATCTGCGAACAAAAAGAGAAACCCAAAAGTCTATTCAGCCAAAAAGCGATCAAAAAGAAATAGAAACAAAGGTAGACGAAAATGAGAGAGACCCATTTAAAATTACCAACAGAAATCATAATGGCGATCAATTGTGATCTGAGATTGCTGGGCTTCGCCGATCAGAGGTCCTCTCTCTGAACGCGTTTAAGGTTAACGATTTTTTTTTAACCAAAGGTTATCAAAATCTACGCTGATTAAACTTTGAAATGATATGGTCTAAATTAAAATAAGGATAATTTACCTATATACCCTTCTACGATTTTGTAAGAAAGCCGTTAGGGTATTCACATGTAACATCATGATTTAGGGCCCAAATTTTCAAAATAGACCCTATCAGTAATTTATTTTTAAATACCGACCCTTTTATGATTTAATTGTTATTTTCGACTTAGTTTCAGCCTCCCGGTTGAATCAGGGTAAAAATGGTAAATAAAGTTCGAAAAAAACTTCACGGGATTTAAAATCCCGCGAAGTTTAGTGCTTGATTAACCACGCTAATAAAGCTGCAGAAGTTTGAAAACTTGACGGGATTTAAAATCCCGTGAAGTTTACTGCTTAATTAATCACGCTAAACTTCACGGGATTTTAAATCCAGTGAAGTTTTCGAAATTTATTTACTATTTTCAACCTTGTTTTAGCTAGGTCTAGGTCTAGGTCGAAAATGGTAATTAAATTTCAAAGAGATCAATTTTTAAAAATAAAATTTTAATAGGGTCTATTTTAAAAATTTATCCTATTTTGGGGTTGTTGGGTTAAATGGATTTACATTTATTGATGTTGCAACTAAATTTCTCTTCTTCATTTGATTGTTAACAAGGTTGTTAATGATGGTAATTGGATTTTTATTTTATAGAAAAAGCTTATAGCATTTGTTACGATCAAATTCAAGTCTTTGCATTCACTAAGAAAAAACTAAAAACTAATGTTACAACATCAAATTAGTGATTCAAACTCAAAAATATAAATCTTTTTATATTTGAAGAGGTAAATATATGACTTGCAATGAAAAGGTATTTCCTACAACAAAATAAATATAAATCTAACTTATTAGAATTGTATTTGCAAGTACACGTACCACAATCAAAGAGTAAATATCTATACAACGAATTTGAGGTTATTTTCCGGTAACAAATGTTGCGTACAACATTTTCTGCAATTTCATGGACAAATTTTGAAAACCATTCTATTTGAGAAAATAATTGCAAAAATCGACATATTTACAATATATTTGTCAAATCGACCCAGTTTTAGTCAACCGACTAAAACTAAATCGATTTTGAAGAATAATCTTACGAAACTTGTCCCGTAAAGTTTAGCGCTCATTAACTACATTTTATAATTTCATGGGAGTTCAAGTCCCGTGAAATTTGGTTGAGTGAGCCACAGACCAATTTCCAGAGAATTGCTCTCTCCTCTCACGAAATCCCTAGCTAGCCACCGCCCTTTCCTTTCCCAATCTCCTTCGCCCGGTCTCTTCGTATCATCAAGCGAAGAAACCATTTAAAAACAAAAAAACCCAACTCTAATGTTGCAATTCTCAAAAAACGCGCCACCACAAGCGTCGCCACCTAATCTTCACCCAAACGCCCTAGGCCTCTGCCTCGACCTCCCTCCGCCAAAGCCCACCACAAGGCCCACAACCAACTGATGGTCCACGTCTACCAAACTCTCCAACACCACTGCCTTCAGCTCCGCCTCCTGCATGGAGCAGCTCCTCATCCACTACGCCCTCGCCGTGGACCGCAACGACCACACCTTGGCCCACCAGCTCATGTGGGTCCTCAACACCATCGCTCCTCCCGACGGCGACTCCACCCAGCGCCTAACCTCTGCCTTCCTCCGCTCCTTGATCTCCCGCGCTTCCAACTCCGGCGCCGCCCGGCCCTACCCTACCACCTGTCACCTCTCCCCACAGTCGATCTCACCCTTCATCGCTTCTCGCCTCTCGATCTTGCTTCTTTTGTCGATCTAAATGAGTCGACATCTGCATACAATGCAATTTTGAGAAAAGTATTTAATTTTTAGATTTTGTAAAGGGACAAGTCAAAAAAACGTTCCGGTTGTCAAACGTGTTTCTTTATTTTTGTTGAAAAAGAACAGAAACGATAAAAACGCCACGGTTGCCAAACGCTCCCTACATTTTATAATTTTATGGGACTTCCAGTGAAATTTGGTTGAGCGGGTCACAGGCTAATTTCCAGAGAGTTGCTCTCTCCTCTCACGAAATCCCTAGCTAGCCACCGCTCTTTCCTTTCTCAATCTCCTTCGCCCGGTCTCTTCATATCATCACGCGAAGAAACCATTTAAAAACAAAAAACCCAACTCTGATGATGCAATTCTCAGAAAACGCGCCACCACAAGCGCCGCCGCCTAATCTTCACCCAAACGCCCTAGGCCTCTGCCTCGACCTCCCTCCGCCAAAGCCCACCACATGGCCCACAACCAACTGATGGCCCACGTCTACCAAACTCTCCAACACCACACCACCGCCTTCAGCTCCGCCTCCTGCATGGAGCAGCTCCTCATCCACTACGCCCTCGCCGTGGACCGCAACGACCCCACCCTGGCCCACCAGCTCATGTGGGTCCTCAACACCATCGCTCCTCCCGACAGCGACTCCACCGAGTGCCTAACCTCTGCCTTCCTCTGCTCCTTGATCTCCCGCGCTTCCAACTCTGGCGCCGCCCTGCCCTGCCACCTGTCCCCTCTCCCCACAGCCAATCTCACCCTTCATCGCTTCTCGCCTCTCGATCTTGCTTCTTTTGTCGATCTAACTCCGTTTCATCGGTTTGGGTACTCTGCTGCTAATGCCGCCAGTTTTGAAAGATTTTTCTTCAAAATGGATCCAGTTTTAGCTAGTTGACAGAAACTGGGTCGATTTTGACAACTATGTTGTTAAATGATGATCCAGTTTTAACTAGTTGACAAAACTGGGTCGATTTTGACAACTATGTTGTTAAATGATCGATATTTGTAATTATTTTTTCAAATAGGACGGTTTTCAAATTTTGTCCCAATTTCAAATATAGTGTACCGAACACGCCCTTACATTTAGCAACTCATAAACATTCAAATATACACTGATAGATGAGTCGCTGCGGACATCCATATACAATACAGTTTACCATGATCATAAAATAAACCGCTCTGCAATTTCATAGAGTCATTACGCAATTTAATACGATCTGCTGTAGGAAATTAAGTTGCTCGGTGAGGAGTCTTCTCCCACTACTATTATGTTTATTTATGTAATTAACTATCAAGTTCATGCAGGTCAGCACTCAGTTGACAAATTCCAATACCAAGTTCATTATTTAAGTGTTGGTTTTATAATGGGATGTGTTCATGAGATCAATCTATATTGCATTTTTTATACTTATTTTCTCTTCTTTTTTAGTGTTTAGTTTCTTGATTGATTGACTACAATAAAAGAACCTTAAGGGCATACCCGGCAACTTCTTTAAATGGGACTAAGCATCTCCAAGAGCCTCCCTATCTCAAGTCTTAGACTAAATATAGGGAGTATGAGAGGAAATAGTTGCTCCAACAGGCTCCCTATGTTGAAGACTAAATATAAGGAATATGATTTGGTATTCCAAATCAAGGACAACAAAATGTTTCCCTATATTTAGGGAAAACCTAAGATCACTCTTGGAGATGCTAAGATACCCTAAATTCTATTTGGCTCCCTATTTTAAGGTAAATGAAAAATGTCCAAAACTATTTAGGGAGCCATTTGGGGAGCATTGTTGGAGCACTTGCTATTTATTTGGCTCCTTATTTCCTAAGAGGAGAGATTTGCTCCTCAAATATAGGGAAAATGTAAGACCACTCTTGGAGATGCTCTAAGGTCCTAGTATCCTTTTGATTAGAATTGTATTTTTGAAAAAATTTGGACTGGTCTTGTTTTTCCTAGGTCTAAAAATAGGGATGGGATGGGTGTGAGCCAGTTCGAACCGTGGGCTGAACTAGCCTAGCTTGCATTGGATCAAGACCTGGTCGGGCCCACAGTGGCAGGGTCTAACCAATCCCGTGTTATACCCAGGCCATGGGTCGGGCCGGGTTTCACTCTAATCTCAACCTGCGGGCAAAGAAATAGGCCCCACCGTGCTCCACCCGATCCATGTTCGAGCCGGACGACCTAGCCCGGCTCAACCTGTCTTAGGTGGTAGTTACATTTTATATAATTTTAGTAGCTACTCAATTGAAAATTGCAACGTCCAGTTATTTTAGTTGTAATTTTATTAGTAGTAAAGATTTTCTAACATCGATTCAGTATTTTGATGAATATTTATAGTCATTTTAATTTTACTAAAAACACTCAAATTACTATGAATTTTCTCTCCTTTAAAACAATTCCATCAATAATTACAAATTTATAGGGTTTGGACTTCTCAAAAAGACAATATATAAGTTTTTCTCTTTAGACTATATGTATACTAATCTAGTAAAAAAGTTGAATAGAAAAAAATTAAAAAGAAGAAAATTTTAGCAGAAAAAAGAGCACTGCGACCCGAACCGCCATGGGCCGGGTCAGGCCTAACTTGGCCCCATGAGAGCAGTAGGTCGGGCTGAGTCTAACCCCAGACCAAGGAACAAAGTCCTCGGCTTGGCCCACCGAAGCCTACCCGAGCCCTAATTTAAATCAGTCTGGACCCAAAACCGAAGGTTGGTTCATGGGCTAGGCCCGGCCCGGCCCTACCTAAAAGACACCTAAATAAGTTCTTTTATAAACCAAGGGGAGGTTATTTACAAAAGAAATAGTTTAGAATAAAATTAGGCCAACATTGATATTAGTGTAATTTCATAAGGATTTGCCAAACCCACTCTTAGTTAGAGGCAAATAAGATAAGCTGGAAGGGGGAAAACCGATAGTCTAATAACAAATTTTGTCTCTTGTAATAAGACAAGGCAAGACATCTAGAACAGATAAAAATCCAACAATATTTCGAGAATCAACCAGAGAAACTAGGCTAGCAATTATGCTGCTCCAGGAAATAATAGAAATTGCATTAAAACATAGGGATACAACACGGTGGAAGAAATATTGTTGTTTTGTATGTTGCAGATTCAATTACATCTTCTAACCATCCATAACTATACACCAACTCCACCACGCTCTATAATTGTGGGATTCAATTAAGATTCAAGTCCAAATTTGTTTCATTTGCTTCTTCAGCGGCTTCCTGAAAAATCAAAAAACGCCAATATAAAAATTAGTTTTTGAAAGCTTCAAGAACCTTCAAACACATTTCTTCGATAAGAACCAATTTTCAACTGTTTACATAACCAAAAAGGCAACTTCATGGGCAATAAATTTGGATGATCATAATGAAGAGGATGGACTATATACTAAAATTGCAGGGTGTTTCGGTTAGATGGGTGAAATATCGAAGCAAAAAGGAAAGAACAATCATAACTAGCAAAAGAAATGCTTTTATAATTTCAAACCTGAGCATCTTCCATCAAGACATCATCTCTGTTAGTTTTCCCACTTGAGCCATCCTCTGTTGTTGGCTGTGGTGATGATCCACCCTCACTACCAGAATCCTCCGCAGCATCTTGCTTCTGGTTTTTTGTAACAGACACCTGCAATGTTGTATGCATCTCATAACCATTCACTCTAAAGCCAGAAGCTAATGTCTACAACGTAATATGATCTCATCTTAAGGCTGCGGTGAAAATAAGAGCTGAACTCTAGATGATAAAATTTACAGATTAGAACAATCGAAGTAAGACTCTTTAAGGGAAATGATAACCCTGACTATGTAGAGAAATAACATCCCCCTTGAGAATATGATGAGGTATTCATTTATTTATAGTGTGCATCTTCACTTTCATTTCTGATATCTATGTACCGATTTTCATACAATATCAGTGCATTTATCAAAATGAGACATAATATTAGAGTTAGGGTCTAACATTATAACCCTCAACCCATACTACGAATTCAAAGTTTTGGGGTAGTGGAAGGGTCAGTTGAAATGGTATCAGAGCAACCCACGTTCATTTGCCATCGGACACGAATTTAGAGCGGATTTGAGAAAAAATATAATAATGTGTGATTTCAAAGTTCGGTCAATAAAAAGGTCACACAGCCTGCATGTTAGAATATAAAATTATAGCAATCAACCCTCACCACAACTTCAAATCTTTAGTGTAGTGGAAGAGTCCTTTGACAAATAGAGAAATAACAGTAATAATGAGAAGAAACTCTTCCATAGAAGGTGCAGAGATCTCATCAGACTGGAAAATTAAATTCAACTTTTTTATATAGCCTAATGATCATCAAACGCTCTGTTTATTGGTTTTTCTTATATTACTATCATGGGTTTTGTCAGCAGTAAGTAAGACAAGAAATCACTACAAGAAAGATTTCTGAAAATGTTCCAAAATAAGCTCATGAGAATATGCTGCAGAGAAGTGATTGGTTTGAATTTAAAGTTCAATACATCAGTGTTATTTTCTTAATTTAAGTTCAAGCCTTGGACCACCTCATTAAATTTCGATTAGTTCTAGATGGAGGATGTGAATATCATTCAGTAAACATAACAAATAGCAAAAAGAGTAAAAGTCACTAATGAGTCTTGTGTCCCCTATCTTGAAAATGTACTCAGAGACATCATATCATAATTTAACAATCGCATGCTTAAGGTATAGATATGACTATAGTAATTAACATGTATGAAAGAAAATTGCATGGTAGTCACTAAAAATGGCGTTTGTAACCGTATTGTTAATTAGAATCCTTCTTATTTTTTAAAGCTTGTGTTAATTAAATATGGTCGTTGCACACATATCAACTCAGAAATACGTGTACACACTCCACCCTTTGAAGTAATGACAAGCATTGACTCGGATATAGATTAAAGAAAAAACAATCAACGCCACCCTCACCCTATCAAATTTCAGCATGGGTTCTGGTTGAGCAGAAAAAGGAAAATTCTGTACCGCAATCCAATCAAACCCCCTTTTCATTGTAATTTGCCGAATTCTCTTCTCCATCATAAGCGAAGGTGTAATGGAAAAGGTCGCTGAAAGAAACCTTTGCTTGATAGTAAATCACAAAGAGGGGAACTTAGATAATAGGAACTGGGAAGTTTAACTCTGTCTCACAGGCAAATGCACATACACACATGAAACCCAGGATATGCTGGAAAAGGTGGCAAGATTATCTCCACATTAGTAAAATCATTGTTAACGTGAAAGAACAATAACTATGTAAAAGCAAGCTAATAAATTATTCAAACAACAGATAATCAGGAAGCACTGTAAAAAGTTTGATTGTGCGTGAAATTGTGGCATGTAAATCCTTGCGGACACGTGTGCAACCGAGTACTTTCAAAGTAGAAGGAGATTCTCTACTTGTTAATTGATACTGACAACACACTCAAATTCATCGAAGTTATCAAACCCTGACCTAAATGAATTAATTATAAAGCCCTTCTGATTCCTGATAACTTATGCTAACCTAGAGGATGTTTTACCGTACATGTCAAACAAGAATCCAAACTGCTTACATTTAGTAGTTCCAATTGATCTTTATATACTTAGCTGAACAATTATTTAATCAACCATAAAATTCAATTCTGTATAAAATACCTAAAACCCCTCTAAAATTATGATCACCTCATTCACCTACTACTCGTAAACGCTAGCCAATAGATGCATCAATTCTATGCGTGAGTCCCAACCTCACTAAACTACTGTTTTCCTTGTAAACACTAGCAGAAGATGCATTAACTCTTGCATGAGCCAAAATCTTGAATGAAATTATAAAAGCCCTACTCGATCCTGATAATTTATGCTAAACCTGCTAACATAGAGGTTATTTTATAATGTACATGTCAAATTAGAGTCCAAAACGGTTGATATTTAATAGCTCCAATTAATCTTGAAATCCTTACCTGAACACTCATTTAATCAACTGTAAATTTCAATTTATGTTTATGCCTTAGCATATAATGCCTAAAATCCCTCCAAAATCGTGATTACCCCAGTAAACTACTACTTCCCAGTGCACTGGCCAGTAGAGGTGTCAACTCTAAGCATGGGACTCAACCTCGCTAATGGCTAAAGTACTACATTCGTTGTATACAAGAGCCAGAGATGCATCAACTCTAATAATGAGCATAATCTTCCTTATTCTAATGATTCAAATGTATCTTTGTATCTCAAACATTTTAAAGTGATCCCATCAAGAAAATCAATCTCACAAAGTGCCAGCTTCTTCTTTCCATGTGGCATCACATGCAACATGAATAAGTCCATCATAAACCATGTTCTAATGAACACAGTTCCTGTATAAGCCCAGGGACATTCACACCCTTCCAGCAAATGAAAACAATTTCACAATATATTTGCAATTATAGACATTTCTTCGGTGTTTTTCACATCCATTGTGCATAATGTAGTGTGATTTTATATATAATTCAATTTTAGAAATATCTTACAAGGAAAAGGTATCAAAAGAACAAGTGATTAAAATATTAGGAAAGTACAGGAAAACGTAAACAATCCTTGCTCAGAAGCAAAAAAAACTCTCTTAGTTCATTTCTTAATGTTGTTGCCTGTTATTTCATGCAATGTTTGCTACGCAGATTCCAAATGCATTAATGGTGCATGAAACACGATTAGTTCTACTCCTCTTCAGACATCTAACTCTTGACACTGAGAAAAATATGAGAACATAGTCTCCTTAATCATACTTTAAAACCTCAATGCACTTCTCATATTTCAATCATTCTAGAGAAAATATATGAAAAGAGCTAGCTCCACAACTACAAAACTTCAACTACACCAGCTCCAACAACACCAGAACATCAACTGCATGCATGCTTGCTCACATGCACACACACGCACATGAGAGAGAGAAAGAGAGGGAGAGGAAAAGGGAGGAAGGGAGTTCATCTTTTCGGAGAGATAAAACACATTTCATCTCAGTTGCTAATCTTTTTTTTTTTAGAATTCATATAGGAATTAAGGGTTACCATTTTTATCTGGTATTACTTTCTTCTTCCTTTCCATAAAAACCAATTTCAAGGAAGAAGATGAATACAAGCATGTGCAAGTCATATGAATGGTCCAATTACCGCTGCCAATTACCTGGCTCATGGTTAGCTTAGCCTGGTATAACTTTAAGCAAGAGCTAATATCTGGATCTCACTGCTTCAACTCAGAAGTGATATTCTCTGAAGTATGAGGTAAAACGTGAATATATAATTTGCTCCTATGTATTTACCCCGACAGATCTTTATCTATTTATTTTGTTTAACTGCTCTATCTGATGTGTCTACACATTCATATCGCAGGCAACAATTGACTCATCATACCTATCATAATCCTCACTGGTCTCCGCCGATTACCTAGTCACAGGATAAAAGGGAAACCACTAAATTGTCTCTCGAACCTTTTCATCGGTTGTGGTAAACATCTAATATCACTTTAACACCAAAAGAAAAACTCAGTGCAGCCACCTCACAAATCTTATGTCATCAAATTCGCTCGAATGACAGGTCAACAATTTTTCTATTTGAAAACACAGAAAAGTATAGATCAGCAAACCGAATGTCAAAAAATTATAATTACAACACATAATATCATAGCCCTACATGTCAGCTATCCAGGAGACCACCTCCACCTATCCAGGAGTGCTAGATGCGTGAAGACGTGGAGGAATGAGAATTTCACGATGGCCGGTGGGGTGTCAAAAAAACAAATCGAGGAAGTGATAATTATTGGTGGCAGAGTGGATGAGAACATGATGACCATCAGAAGAAAAGAGCACAGCAAGCAGCGTGGGAATTTTGGAGAAATAAAGAGGCTGGAGGCTAAGGTGAGGAAATGAAAGAAACCAAAATAAAGGGGCATTTGCTTGGGCTGGATGAGAACGAGTCAAGTGTTGAGAGGATGAAGCTTGACCAACCAAAGGCGGGAACGAGAGGATCTTCATCGAGATTGACGAATTGGTAGCGTGAAATGCTTCAAAAAATGACTTTTTTTTTTGGGGGGGTGGGGGTGGTGGGGAGGTGGGAGGGCTGAAGGAATCCTTTGGGTTTATTTGAATGTAAGATGATCCAAGATTTTATAGAAAGATGGAGGGTGCCTTGGATTAATTAGATAGGTGATAGAGCTGGTTTTGTAGATAGCTAACATGTAGGGCTATAACATTTTGTGTTTTAAATAACAATTTCTGACACTTGGATTGCTTATATGTACTTTTTTGTGTTTTCAAATAGAAAATTTGTGACATCTCATTCATGCAGATTGATGACGTAAGATTGGTGGCATGGCTGCAGTGAGTATTTTCCTATGTTAAAAGGTTATTACTTATTAGAGCGTTTTTTACTACCGACGAAAAGGGTCAGGGGACAATTTATTCATTTCCCTTTCCCTTGGTGACTACATTGCCAACAGAGAGTGGGGAAGATGATGATTAGTGATGAGTCCATCGTTCCCAGCGATGTGGATCTCATCGTAGGTACTTACACTACGCAGGATCATAATCGAAGACCAATGCCTTCAAAATAAAAAAGGCTAATCAATAAAGCCAATAATGACACTTATATACCCTTCAATATATATGCTTATAAGTTAATAACAGTTTCATTTTCCTACATGTTTAAAAAATTTAAGATATGAATACTTCAGGGGCACATTCATAAAACTCACAGATGATACTTATATTAGAGATGGTCATGTTCGAATTGCAAATTTATTCCATTAGATAGTAGAGCTCTATTTGTCAGCATTTTTCCAATTCTGGATTTGAAAATGTAAATGTTCAAGAATGACTAATGGACACGATAAAGAAGTGGAACTTTCTTTTGTTCTTTCTGGAGTGGGATTGGTATTTGTCTACAAGGAGTAGGGGTTGGGGTCAGGTAGTTTCAATTGCATTTGCAAACTGTCATATATGGTCCTAGGATTAGGCACAAAGGTACAAAATGTGCAAGAATATAGACATCCTAAAAGATAATAGTATTCAGATTTTTCTTTTAGGGCGCATATAAAGATAATTATTAACTAAAGTTGTGCCAATATTCATATATACTTATTATGATTTATTACCACTAAACAGGCTCAAAAAGGGTGTGGGATGCTAAAATGAGAGTAAGAATGCTAAGTTTTGGCAAACTGATACTTTAAGGGAATCATGTCATGTACTATTTTTGTCTAAAGGAACAATAAGAGAAGCTGCGTATACAGTTATGTATCTCGATATATTTCTAGAGTTTGGGCTAAGATTCAAAAACTCGCAATAGTATGAACATTCCAAGGGATGTGAGTATTTGGATAATATTTAGCAAAAACTGCATAGCCATCAACTAAAGGAGAAACCGTAAAGATTCTAGTTTTGAGTGAAAACCTCATTATGTTTGGACACCACAATATATGTGTATGAGTTAGTCCAAGATCCAAGACCCAAGAATATGAGCATTCAGATTTATTCCAGGTAACTTACACATCACTTACACTTCAACTGCAGGTGTGTCAGGGAACTAAACTTGTGAACTGACCTTGTGATTTATCAAAGTTCAGTGTCACAATGTGGAGATAACAACATTCCAAGGGATATGAATATCTGGATAATTTTTAGTATAAATTGTATAGCCATCAACTAAAGGAGAAACCTTGAAGGTTTTGGTTTCGAGTGGAACTTCGCCATGTTTGGGCATAATGATATAACCCAAGGATATGAGCATTCAGATTATTTTACAATTAACTTGCACATCACTTGCACTTCTACTAGAGGTGTGTAAGGAAACAAAATTTATAAATTGTCTTCGTGATTTATTAGCATTCAGTATCACAATGTGGAGAGAGTCTGGTTCATTAGCATCTACACCCTCCTCAAAAGGATGTAAGGTGATTGTGAATTGCAATGAGGGATAAATGCAGCATAACCATTGCCAAAGGGTGTTATACATGATTTCACCTTATATTTCTAAAGGAACACTTACCAATCCCGAGGACTTTTGTTGTTCATGCAATTGTGACAATAAGTTAAACCAAACTTCCAAAACTCCACCAAGAATTCCAAAA